CTTCTAAACTCTTCCTCTTTTTCCACTTCTTTATTTTCTCCTAACCCATTTTAAATTTTAACCCCCAAGGGCAAAATTGACATGCTAAGGACTTGTATACTGCATACAATTTTATGGGTTTTTTTTAGATTTTGCTATATAATCACAAACCTAGTTTATAGGGTTAAATGTGACAAATTAATGGTTACTTTAGTTTGTCATTTTCTAGGCTGTGTTTTACATTTCTGTTATCAGTACTACTATAGCCAAAAAGGACATAATTGTTCTAAACAGCTGTTCCTTCTGGTATTCTAAGATTGACTAAAGGTCACAGAAAATACTGTGGCACAGTGCCAAAGACCAGGGGCAGGGTCAAACATGCCCTAACAAATTGAAGAGGTAGGATCTTACAGGAGCCTCAGAAACCAAAAACCAGCCATACCTGGAAGATAACTAGGAGAAGTAGTCATTTCCTAATGGTTCTAAATACTAGCAAGAAAGCAACCCCCTATAGGCAACTTATAAACACCATCCCAGGAATTAAAAAAAAAAAAAAGAAAGAAAAGAAAATGAAGAGACATGTAAGATGCAACCCAAACATCACCAAAAGCAAATTCAGGGTAAAATGAGGTGGGACAATCCCAAAATCACCCACATGGCTTGTCTGAAGTGGTAACAACAAAGCAATTGAAAGAGGCTCTAGAAAAAAATCAAATCAGAAATAATTTCTCAGATAACTGAAGAGATAATGTCCACATTGAAAACATGCTTAGTGACTATAGAGCAGTCACAGACAAGAAAATAGAGGAGTTTAAGAAAAATATGGAAGCCATTAATGCTCAGCAAAAGAAAGAAATGGAATCCATAAGGCAGATTCAAGCAGATATCCAGAATAAAAATGCCACTGAAAGTATATGTAGCACATTAAGCCAATGTGAGGACGAGAGCTCAGATATAGAAGACAAGCTTGCAGCCAGCAATCATCAAAAAAAAAAAAAAAAAAAGATTTCTTAAAAATAGCAAGGGACTATAAGAAATAATACAGCAGTTGATAGATGATGGAGGAATAACTTCAGATTGATTTGAGTCAATGAAAAAGCAAGAGATAGCACAAATTATATTAAAAAACTGTTCACAACCATAGAAAACTTCTTTGGTAGAAGAACTGACATACAGGTAGAAGAATCTGACATACAATTAAGTGAGGCATATAAAACTCCAATTGGCTATGACCAAAAAAAATCTACACTCAGGCATATCATAGTCAAGATTCCAGAAATTCAACACAAGAATAGAATATTAAAAGCTGTTAGGGAGAAGAAACAAATCACCTATAAAGGAAAGCCCATCTGAATCACAGCTGATTTCTTAGCGCAAACTCTCAAGTTAAGGAAAGCTTGGAGTGGAGTATATTAAGCTTTAAAGGAAAACAACCTTCAATCCAGATTGATGTACCTCGCAAAATGATCTTTCAAAACTGATGGAGAACTGGGGATATAGCTCAGTGGCATAAGCACCTGCCCAGCAAGTACAAGGTCCTGAGTTTGATTCCCAGTACCAAAAACAAAACAAAACAAAACAAAACTGATGGAGAAATAAGATGCTTCCATGAAAACAGCTGAGGAAATTTATGACCACCAAACTAGCACTGCAAAGTGTTTTCAAAAACATTCTAGAAAGAGAAAACAAGGGCTACAACCCCATGAACCCCAATAGAAGGAATCTATCAGGCAAGGCAAATAATTTAAACAGAGGGAGGGGAAAAAACAGGGAGCCAACAATAAGAAAATAACATGAAAAGGATAAACCAGTGCATATCAGTTGTAACCATCAATGTCAATGGCCTCAATCCACCAAGCAAAAGACACAGACTAGCAGAATGGATCAAGAAGCATGATCCAACAATATGCTGCATACAGGGTACACATTTAATTAAAAAAAATTTATAGACTGAAAGTCAAAGGATGGAAAACAATATTCCATATGATAGGAACTCAGAAAAAAGCAAGGGTAGTTTTCTATTTGCAGACAAATTGAATTTTAAGCCAACACTGATTAAGAGAGACAAAGAAGGTCACCACATCCTTGTAAAGGGAACAATCAAGAGGAAGAGATAATAATCATAAATATACATGCAACAAATACCAGTGCACCCAGCTATATAAAACAAATATTAATGGGCATGAAGACCTTGTCTCAAAAAACCAAAAAAAATGAAAAAAGATATAAAATGTTTTGCCTCTATCTTGTATTCTGAGTAACTACTTTGAAGATGATAGAATATATTAGCTATTTTTATTTTCTTCTTTTGTTATGAAATTTTTAAATTTTTTCATAAAAAGTTTTGATAGGACCGGGTGTGGGGGTGTGTGCCTCTAATCCCAGCACTTGGGTGGCTGAGGTAGGAGGATCATTGTGAGTTTGAGACCAGCCAGGGCTACAAAGTGAGCTCAAGGCCAGCTTGAACTGCATAGCGAGACCCTCTCTCAAAAAGACAGAAAAAAAAAAAAGTTTTGAAATATATTAAAAACATGTTCTGAGATTTATTTTTTGTTCTATGTGTTATTAGATATTTATTTTAAATTTCCATGTATGTTGGTGGTGTCCAGGTATTCATCCATTATTGATTTCTACTTTACTTCCATTGTGATCTGAGAGCAGATAGTATACAATTTCTATCATTTTAAACTTATTAAAATGTGTTTTATGGTCTACAATATGATCTGTCTTGGTGAAAGTTCCATGTGTGCTTGAGAAGAATGTGCAGTTTATTGTTGAAGTAGTCTGTTCATGTCAATTATATTCTGCTCAGTTGATGGTGCGGTTGAGTTCAACTATGTCCTTACTGATTTTCTGCCTATTGGGTCTGTCCATTCATGACAGAGGACTGTTGAAGTCTCCAACTGTTATAGTGGACTCACTGAATTTTCCTTGTAGTTCTACCAATTGATGCCTCATGTATTTTGGTGGTCTGACATCACATACATATGTATTAAGGATTTTTATCTTATTGGAGTACTGACCCATTTGTCTTGCTATAATACCCTTCAGTGTCATTGACAATTATTCCTTGCTCTACAGTCTGCTTGGTCTGAAATTAATATAGGTACTCCTATTTTCTTTTTATTAATGTTAGTGTGGTATAATTTTTTCTATACCTTTTCTTTCTTCAATTTTTATTATTTATTGGCACATCTTTGTAGTACACAATGATTACATTTCTCATGGGGAGTTGGTACCTGTACACAACACATCTTAATTCTTTTCAACCCTTTCGCTCCCTCTCCTCTTCCACCTCTTGGTTCCCTTCCCTTTTGCAAAAGATCTATCTCTGCATCACCTATCCTTCCTTTTGTTCTTTATTTATGTTTTGGGTTGCTCAGATAAGAGAAATCATGTGATATTCAAGCTGTGTGTCTCATTTATTTAACTTAAAATTATGGTCTCAAGGTGCATCCATTTTCCTTTACTTTTAATCTATTTGTGTCTTTATATTTAAAGTGGTTTTTTAATTTTTAAAAAATAATCGAGTTTTTTTTTATCCACTCTGAAAAATCAGTCATTAATTGATACTTTCAGACCATTAACGTTTGAATCTGTTATTGGCTTTTGTTTGTTGTACTGGAGATTGAACCCAGGGCCTTCATACTGAGGTACATCTCTAACCCTTCTAAATTTTGTTTCTTAAATTTTAAGACAGGGTCTCCCTAAGTCATTAAGTTGCCCAGGCTGGGTTCAAACTTATGATCTTTCTCATTCGGGCTCTCAGGTTTACAATTGTGTGCCAGCACACCTGACTTTTCCATTATTTTTATTATGCATGTATTACATATTTTATTTTTGTCTCCCATTTCTTTGATTTTCTGTTCTGGTTATTTGCAATGTTTTTCTTTTTTCTTTTTAGTTTCGGAAGTAGCCTTTGTCATATCTCAAGCTCAGCTTCTTTAGCCACGTCTGGTCTACCATTAAGTCCATTAAGAATATTCTTCATTTTGGTTACAGTGTGTTCAAATCCAGGCATTTCTTTTTATTCTTTATTAGAACGTCTACTTCTCTCCTATCAGTATCTACCAGTTCTTGTGTATTATCTACTTTTTGCATTGAAGTTCTTAAGGTATTAGTAAAAAGGCCATTGACTCAACATTTCCATCTTCATGTATCAATAGACTGCCTGTTTGTTCCACCACAACTAGCATTTCTGTCCATCAAGGCCGTGCAAGACAGAAAACTAGAAGTCTTAATACTTCTTACTCTTTCATCCTCTATATCAATTTATGAACTTCACAGACAAAAGTTTCTTGAATCTATGCATATCTCTTCATCTCTGCTACAAAATACGTACCCTAATCAAAGCCATTATAACCTCTCACCAAAAAACTTTCTTACTAATGGCTCTCCTTAACACTGTCATTCTTTTTCAATTTGCTCCCTAATTTATATAACAAACAGTATAGCATAATGGAAAGAATACAGGGTTCTGCTTTTGGATCAAAACAGACCAGCCACAAACTCCTCAAAAAAAATTGGTGAACATTTAAACCTCACTTTTCTCAGCCATAAAATAAATCCAAACAAACACAAACCAATTATTCTTCCAATTGAAATGATATACAGAAATGACATAACTAATGAAGAGCCACTCAGAGAGCAGCTCTTACTATGTACAAAATAAAGTCCAAATTCTATCTCAAAGACATTCAGATTCAGAGCTTAATGTCAGAGGTAATCCTCAGCATAAATCACTGTTTGACTACATAAAACACTTCTTATTTTACTTTAATAACTGATGGACATCTAATTATTAAAAAAGAAGTAGAAAAATATACATTTTATTCTGAAATTAAACGTATATATTCATGTATATACTACACAGCATATTCACAAAATTGGGTAGTCTGATTGCTAAACTACAAAATGCTTTGAACCACTGCTTTAAATAGCTGAAAAAGAAATCCTATAGAAGTGTTACTTAGAAATATATCCTTTATTAATAAAATTATCATTTACACTTTAATACTTGCATTTTTCTTTGTTTCTTCAGAGGTTGCAGGGGAAATTTTCTCAGCAAGTAAAACCTCACAATCTGCATTATCTATAAACAAAAAACATAGTTTAGTGCTCTACTTAAACTGCCATTACAAGTATAGAGAACAAAATTCAAATTTAAAATAAAATAAAAATCTTATTTTAATGACTGTGACTTAATAATAATTAATGAAGAAGCACTTAATATGCCAAAAAATCTAAAATAGGAGAAAATATCCTTAACACTCTTGTCTTGAAAATTCCATGTTTTGTAGTAAACAATACACAAAACATCTTCCTTTCAATTAATAGAGAAATGTGTAATCAAAAATCTTCATTCATCATCCTACCATTTCCACTTTCCTTTCTTTTTAATTTTTAATTTTTATTAGTACATTTTTACAGTACATAATGATTACAGTCATTGTAAGGAAGTGGTATATGTACATAACACACTCAATTCTTTTTTACCGCTTCCCTTCAACCTCTTTTTAAGTTTCTTTTTTTGCCCGCATCAGATCCATTTAATCATGGTATAAGTCCTTATCTAATTAATTATCACAGATATAGATTATCAGCCAGACTAACAGGCCTAAAACATATAAAACAATTATACTAAATCAAGGTGCACTTCAGATACATTGTCCATGCTGCATTATAATTAAAAATTTTTCTCCTTTTTTCCTATTGTCTTTTATTTTGCACTTAATTTATATATTAGGTTTCTCATATAGGAGAAACCATGCAATATTCAGGCCTTTGTATGTAATTAACTTTCTTTCTTTCTTTATTTTTTTTTCCAGTACCAGGAATTAAACTCACAACCTTGCACTTGCCAGGCAGACTCTGTGCCGCTGAGCTAAATCCCCAGCCCCTATGTCTGATTAACTTTCCTTAACACTATGGTCTCAAGTTGCATCCATTTTCCTACAAATGACTCCAGTTTGTCTTTCCTTATGGCAGAGTAGTACTCCACTGTGTATAAATACCATATTTTCTTATCTATTCACCTACTGATGGACATATAGGCTGCTTGCAAGATTTAGCTATAAAAATGGATATGCATACATCACAATGATATTATGTCTTTAACTCTTTCAGGAAGATAACTAGGAAGAGAATAGCTTGGTCAAATGTAATTTCGAAGTTCAGTTGAATTGCCATACTGATTTCCATAGTGGTTTATCAGCTTATACTCTTACCAACAATGAAGAAATGTTTCTCTTTCCCTTCATCCTCTCCAGTATTTGTTATTAGTTGATTTCTTGATGACAGCCATTCTTTCAGGAGTAAGA